TTTTTCAAAGGAAAAAAACAATTGAACAAAATTACATTATAATAAATAAAAATGCATCCCGTTGCACAGGAAAAAATAAATAGAAAGCCAAAAGCAATATAAAACTCAGAAATCTGTGTTATTATCTGATTTATTTGTTATTTTTCTATTTTATTTTTTTATTATTAATTATTTTCATTCTTTTATAATTTTTTTGGAGCGAAGGGAATGCACAAACTATAGAGCCACGGATATTTTTTTGAATGTCCGAAAATTTTTATAATTTTCATCTAAAATTTTGCATATGATTCAGCGTCTCAAGTTCAAGGTCTGATGATACCTTTTCTTTTTTTACATTTTCACAAACTTTACAAGTTGCCACTTCCAACAATTCATCTAAAACATATAAAAAATGAAACACACACACACACACAAAAAAAAAAAAAAAAAAAAAAAAAAAAAGGAAAAGTAGCAAGCAATACAGAAAAAAAAAAAAAAAAAGAAACGGCGAAAAAAAAAGAAATGATTAGATTTCAATCAAAAAAACTTGGCATAATTGAGATGTTGGTCCAGCCCCTCGTTTTTACTTTCTTGTGCAAGCACATTTTTTAGTAAATGAAGCTCCTCTCGCTGCCGTCATCACTTTCCGACCCCTTGTTCTTGCGTCTACAACCTTTTGCCATATTGAGGTATAAATCTGTTTCGCTCCTTTTTCGGTTATATTTGAATGAGATTCCAATATGCGTCTAATAAACTCTGCCTCAGGAATGTGAACTAAAGTTCGTCCATCTCCTTCGGGAAGAATAGACTCAGGTTCAGTTACCCTCCCTCTTGAACAACGGACCAAAAATTCCAATGCTTGCTTTCTGTCAAACCCGTTTGGATCTTCCGGATCATCTGCGACAACACGTGCAGGAGGAGAAACAGCAAGGAGCGACGCATACCTCAAAGTGTTGATTGTGTGTCTTGCATCCCTTAACAGGGGTGAAACACACGCTATCATCACCGTTTTTGTTGGGCGTTTCACAGCAATCTCAAAACAATCACGAAGTAACAAAGTTAGAGGCGATCTTCTAAATGGAATATGTAAATGATTTGTACTGGTTGCCGCCAATACGCGAGTTCGAATACATTCTTTGAGAGTCATAAGTGAAGTATTAATAAATTTTGCTTCCATTTGACGTTCTTTATCATGAGTTGCACTATCGGCTGTGTTTTCACTTCCCGCGAGGTCCACCATAAAAAGTTCTCCAGGTCTTGCCCATTTACTATTTTTTGAGACAATTCTTATACAAGTTACCATATGTGAACGGGAAGAGGCCTCATTTCTACCTGTTGCTTTGGTCATTCTTTGTGAAGCCGCTTCTTCAAATACTGCCCATAATATTTCTTCATTTGAACATTCAAAGGCATCAGCCCCTCGAATTTTTAATTCTCCAGATACATCTTCCACAACTTGCACTTCCGTTCCCGTTAGAAGATCAATGTTTTTATTGGCTTGTATTTCAATGACAGTAATAAAAATATCATGAGATGTAAAATAGGAAGCTAGATCTCTTGATACAAGCTGAAGAATGCCTGCCGTTGTATAGGTTTTGCCACTCCCCGTTTGTCCATAACAAAGAACGCAGGTGGAGGCTCCTTCAACCGATAAGTTAACCAGAGGATAACAAGATTCTCTATAAACTCTTGAAGTATCATCCATTCCGTCAAAAACGCCATCAAGATTTACCGTATGAGGGTCTAGCAAGCACTGTCCAGCTAAAGAAACCTTGGGTACCATTAGAACAAGATCACGGCGTCCTTCTACCTTACGAATCATGCTCTCACTATGCATGTCTTCCTGATCAAAAGGAATAATAGGACGACAACGCACAAAAATCCGAGAGTCCTGAGAAACAAAAAGCTCCTCCGGCTCCATGATTGGACGAAGCTTCTTCTTCACCGTTTCAGGCGCTTCAGTGGAGTCTAATAATCTCTGAAACTCAGCGGCCTTTGCTCCAAGCTCCGCCAGCAAAGGAATGCTAGGCATTTTGATGTTTTTCAACTCCTTTTAATTCCTTTTCCGTTGTTTATTTTAGGCACAATGAGAAAAAAAAAATCCTACACATATGTTAGGTAAAAATAAGGGGATCAATTGCTTCACTAATTTATTTATTTATTTTAAACGAAAAGGCAAGCAATCCACGCACAAAAATAAATTATTAAATGAAAATATTGACCCAGCACAACCCGTGTCGAATGAAACAGCCGGGACTCAACAAAACGAAAAAAAACACCGGCACACCGGGAACGAAAGGCATACAGACGGAGAATGCGCGCAAAAGTCAGCACCACACGTATCACGGTCAATTGCCAGGCCTCTCGGACAGGGTAACCACAGCCAGTAACCTCCACACCCCGGTCGTGCGGGCGGACCGGATGGCACACATCCCTCGCCACCTGGACGGAACGAAGGGCCTAACTGGAGACCCTTAGTCTGGCAATGCCGGCCGCCACATCGCGGTCCAAGGGTCGATTGCCCCGTATTGTCGGGGGAAGCTAGGAGCCGGCAATATTTCCCTCACACCTCGTGGTCGTGCGTGCACCTCACACTCGGGCCAATGAACGCCTCAAGGAACATCCTGCCTGAAGAAATGCAGCTGGCCGTGCAAACAATCCCGAGTCTCGTCAACGTTCCAGCAGCCGCTCCTTTGGCGAGACGTCGCTCTCTTTCGTCCTTGTTTCCAGTGTGCCATCTTCGTATAAAATGAAAATGCCTTCCACAACTGGCGTCATCAAGCACCTCCAAGTAAATTAGGAAGGATTCACGGCCTCAAGAAAAAGCACCCAAAGTGGTAGTCAACGTGAACTCAGCAACGCATGTCAACTACCGCA